CGCTGGCAGATCTGCTCTCAGCCCTCTCCTACTTCTACGGGGTGCTGCAGGACTTCGACAGGACCTCGTGGGACTGTGTGCTGCAGGGTGCCCTGTCCACCTTCGCCAACACCAGCTCCTTCTTCTGGACCATGGCCATCGCGCTCTACCTCTACATCACCATCGTCCGGGGCTCGCCCACGGGCACGGGCTTGCTCTGGTGCTTCCATCTCGTGAGGTGGGTGCTGCCTGCTGCTCCTGGGAGGTGCAGACCCCCAGGCACCCACCCCGTGGCCAGGAACCCTCGTTGCTGCATGCCACTCCACCATGGAGTGCTTGGATGGGCACTTTGTGCTTTCCTTAAGGATCCCGTGTCCCCCTCTCAAATTCCCTTTAAACAGATGCTTTGCTGTCTTTTCACTAATCAGTCCTGCTTGTTTTCCCCCTCCCCTCCCAAGCAAATAATAGGAGATGTGAAAAGGTTAAAAAGTTTTTGCTTAAGGTCACTTAGAAGAATCTCCTGCAAGTTAGAACGACTCTGAAATTCCTGGCTTCTGCTTTCTCTCCACAGTCTGCTTTGACAGCCTAGAAATAATCTCCCAAACTTGTGTTTGCAATACCTGTGTGCTGCTGCCAAAACTCCTGTGTTTGGGATCTGTTTCCACCAACTTCCCAGTGTCAGCCCAGTCTGTGGATACTTCCCTTTTCCCCAGGCAGGTTGAGGTAATTCAGTCCCCATAGGAGAATATTGTCTAGGAGTGATGAGACTGACAGCAAAGCACTTTGAAGGTTGTTTTGGCATGTTTGAAAGCAAGACAAACCAGACCACAGTGTAGCTTTATGTCTCAGTTTCTGCTATTTAGGGAGCTGATTTTCCACATCATGTTTAGTAAAAGCTTTCATTATGCAACTGGACCTTGTGGAATCATGTGCTACGTCCACGCTGAGCAAAACAGTGATCCTTTAGTCCCCCATGCTGCCAAGCTTTTGCAATAAATTATAAGAGGAATGATCTGGTTTACAAGGGAAAAAAAAAGCCATCAGGGCAAAGACTGAATTTTCTTTGGTTTCTTAGTCAAGTGTTTGTCACCTTTTGTTTTCAAACAGCATCATGATTTGGGAGGTGATTAAATTAGAGTCGAGCCCAGGTGAGGATGGGCCAGAGAAATACATTAGGGCTGAGTGTAAATTAGGGAGGAACTTCAGTTCCTGTCCTACCTGTTCTAATTGCTGCTCTACAGCAAAATCTGTGTGTGTGGAAGCCTGAGGTGACTGCACATGCCCCTGGGTACAGCAGGTTGTTGTTGGTGAGGCTGAAGTGAGATGCAGTGAGACAGTGGAGGAGTATTTAGGTTATTTCATCTCAAGTAAATAGAGAGTTGCACTCTGAGAACTGTGGGGAGGCTGAAGCACCACTAACTAGCCACATATTGCTTAAGAGGCTGAAAAAAAAGGAGTGACTGCTTCATAGGCATGTTGGCTCCATCAGGATACATCAGAGTTGAGGAAATCTGGCCTATTTCTAATTATCCTCTCTGCTAATTGCTTGTGTGGCTTTTGTCTCTACTTCGATTTCTCCATCTGGTTTAATGCTCCTCAGCATCAGCAGCTACAATGTGTGGGAAGAAACAGGCAGAGTTCCTGAAATAGTGTTGGCTGTAATCTGTGCAGTCTTTAAAAACTGTAAGAATCCTTAGAGATTGCTCTGCTCTTACACAGAGGAAGAGATGCTTAAACTGAGCACTGAGATCAGTGCTTAAAGCTGCTTCTGCTGGGTGATATGTATGAAGAGCCAGAGAAAACAAGTGAGGACCTGTTATCTGCCCATCCCCTCGTGACACATCATCCTGCTTTCATTCCCTGCACTTATGTTGTTACCTGAGAACTCAATCGTTCTGAGCATAGTGCTGGGAGATGGCTCCACTCACCCTCTTCAGTGTTTCAGGGCTGTCAGCAGTGCTGGGAGCCAAAAAGTCTCTTAGAACCTTACAGAAGTGCTGCAGCTGATGGGAAAAGAGTCCATACACAGGTTGCAGGAGGTAGGTCTGGGAGACCTGATTAGGGCAAAAGGAAAGGTAGCAAAAGGCAATGATGTTTTAAGGTTTTAAAGACAAGTTTCTGGGATTTTGGTCTAGGCAAGAACCTGGGATTTCCCCCCCTGCTCCTTGTTTTGTAGGTTGCCAATATAACCATGCAGGGACTATTGTGTGTAGAGTCATTCCAGACACCCCTGGAAGGGATCCAAAGCAGGATGAGTTTTGTCATGCATGTTTCCTAGTCTTCACAAGCAGCTACACGTATTTGTGAAGATGAGTACTTTGTTAGCCTTGAGTATAACCAGAGTTCTTCAGCTGAGTGGAATCTACTAAATAGACGTTGGAAGTCAGTACCTGAAATTTTCCCTTAGGAAAACTAGGATGTCACACTGGATCAAACCTGTCAAACAGGTTTGTCCTTCCTTGATTCCTGTGGTAACACATCCACCTATTCTGCTGCTAGGCTAGAGAGCTGCAGCCTCTGTTTTGGCTTTCAACTTGTGGAGCTCAGATGAGCTTTGAAAACAAGCTGACACTCAGCTCTGGAAATATTTACCTCGTTGTCAGGTGTGAGCTTTGTTTCCAGAGTGTAATGTCCAGGCTACCTCACCTGTTTTGAATCTAAATACCTAGTATCATTTAGCTGGGTAACATCATCTTTGTGCTGAGAGTAGCTGATCCAAACTGAGGGTGAGGAATGGACCTGAGAGACAGAACACACCTTGGGGTTGTTTCTTGCTTGACTTTTGATAGCAATTGCTGACAGCCTTGGAAGTATTTTCATTTCATGATCAGGCTGTGCAGATGGCTATAAGCATAAATATACTTTATATATACGTATGTATGTGTATATATATAGCATATGTGTGTTTATATATACATTTATAACCATGATATATATTTATATATGCATGTCCATGGATGTCCTTTCATGTACTACTGTGCTGTACATCTGAGGCCTCACTAAGCTGCCTGATGCATAATTAAACTGGGGCAGATTTGCTCTGGAGTTCTGTTTGCAATGTGTACTCAAAGCTCTTTCCTGGAATTGCCTGGGACATCCCAGAGACTGATTTTTCTCTCTTTACAGAGTAAAAGTTCCTGTCCCCAGAAGGAATGGCCTGCAGGCCTGCTGCTAGGATGGGTTGTTGCCTAACCTGTGCAGGCAGGTGACAGCAAATCACCTGCTTGTAAGAGCCTCGAGGGGGGGGAAAAAAAGCAGCTGTGCAGCATAAATCAAAACGTGGTATTATTAAGCAATCTGACCCAGGCACATTGAGGACAAGCAAAGCAAGCCAAGCCAAGCTGAACACTGCTGCAGTTTAAGGGTCTTTGTCTTGCCTGGTGTTGGTGTTAACGTGGAAAGATTTGCTGGGGTGTGAGTTGTGTTATGAAAACGCTGCCAGGAGCTGTATTAGGGGAGTAAGTACTGTTGTGTCTGCCTGGGAGATGTGAGCTCAGCCTTTTGACAGAGATGTGAGGAGCACTCATCTTCCTCTTCTCTCCCACACTGTATTTAGATCCAAGTGTGCTTTTGAGAGGCTCTGCCTTCATAATTGCTCTTTGGGGCTCAGAGGAATATTTCTGCCTCTCTGTTATCTTGGAGCCTTTTCATTCCAGTCTTTACATATGCCTTGGGTGCTGAATCCTGATCCTTCAGTTCTTCCCTTCTTCCAGTTGGATATAAAGCATTGACATTTTCAAGTCTTTGTGACTGTGTCATTTAGGAGTTCTGAAGAATAACCAAATCACTAGTCTCAGTTCTGCTTTCCAGTTCTCTAAAATGGAGCTGCAATTCACTGAAATGTCTGATTGCTTTCTAGATCCTTTCTAACTTCAGTGTGAGTTGGTAATCCTTTGTCCTTGCTGGTAGTTGTAAATGTCCATCTGATATCTAATATATTATTCCAGTGAAAATTAACTGCCTGTTGTGCAACAGTTTTCTTCCACATTCTTCCTCCTACCAGTTCTGTACTGAAGGTTTTTAAGTCCCTTGTCTGTTATTTGCTGTGTGGTCTCACTTGTTGTGTCTGTACAGACTTTGACTGTTCTGTCTCACATCCACACCCATTAATTTGCCCTGAGTTTAACTTAATTCTCTTGAAGTTTCAGATCACTGTTGAGATGATTATTTAAACAAATTATTCTCTTCATTCACTTCCTTTTTCTTGGTGTTTGTGTGTCTTACCATGGTTTCTCTAAGGAAGTGCCACTTTTCTTGTACCTTAGTGCTCAGTTCTTCCAAGTGTGCTGAAAGCTAAAGGTCTGTAATTTTTACCAGAATGAGGCTCGAATTGTGTGGAAACTCTCACAGTGGTGGTGACATTTGGGATGTTTTTAGAAAGTCTCCTCTGATAAGAGTGTGGGGAGAGCTTCCTGCAGCACAACTCTCCTTAAATAACAGCTCTGCCCTGGATTAGCACTGCCTGTTCCAGGCTGCACACTGAAACAGAATGTTCTAAACACACTGAAAAGTTGACTCTGAAGGTTTTTTTCACAGTGTTTTATTTACATTTGTGTTGGTTTGTGGGTAGGGGAACCCAGACATTATTTCAGAGTAGGAAATGGGGTATTTCTGAAATCTAATATCATGGGATTATGTCTGATTTTTTCAGTTGGGCTATGGAATTTCAGATAATCTGGTCAAGGCACCTGCTGGTTGCTGACATAGTTTTGGTGCCTGTGAAACTGATTTTAGAAGGAAGATCCTTTTCATGCTCTCTGCAGCTGCTCCAGGCTGTCAGTGAAGACAAGCATGAACCAGGAAGGTGATGAAAGCAAGACAGTCGTGAATTTTTCTCTGCACCTTGGGAGCTCAGTCTGAGCACTCTGAAGCATTTGTGGATTCATTGGAGCAGTGTCCCTTGTCCCTGCTCAGGCTCCACAGGACCTTTCTCTAGGATGGACATGGGAAGGGCAGGTGATGCATTCAGTTAGATGCAGACCACTAGTTCAGCTGTGGCATCATTGTTATGTTTGGGCTTCTGGAATTTTGCTGTTCTTCCTCATGGTTTCCTGTGGGCAGCCCAAGCTGCTAAGCGAGTTAATTCATGTGTGTCAGCACAGTTATTTTTCTTCTAAATGCTTCCCTATGTTTGCCTCTGCTGTCAAGAGAGAGAGAAGCCAAAGTCAAAACAAAGCTCCAAATTATGTGAATTTGGCTCCTCTTGGCATTCTTAGCTTTTTGCTGTTACTGCCAGTGCTTTTCCTTGGGAAGAAACTTGTTCCTTGTTCCTCCAGAAATTATAATTCTGCTCCCAAAATATTGACGACATCTCCACTTAAAAGCAAAACAAACAAACCAATGATGGGATAAAATCGTGGATTTCTTTTTGTGCTGGTGCTTTACGTGTCAACTGTCACTTTGGAATCAGGATGTGGCATTTGGCTGCTTGTGTTCTGAAAGCTCAGAATCAGCCTCTCCTGCAGGACAGTCTCACTGTACAATGCTCTGGACCTGTCAAACCCTCAGTCTCACCTGTATCCAGGAGAGAAGGGCAGGAGGTGGGATGTGTCCTGTTCACCTCACAGCACCCTGGCTGTGCTGTGCAGAGCAGGTTCCAGGTCAGAGTGTGGCACATCATAATACAGCTGTCCTTCAGGACTAGGGATCCCAATTCCTAGTGTTCCCCCTAGGAAGTGGATTTGCAGTCCACATTCATACCCTGTCAAATAGCTATTTGTCAGCCACATTCATACCCTGTCAGATACCTATTTATCAGCCACTTTGGCCTGATGCAGCAGTGCTGATGTTCTGGAACAAATATTGTCTGAGGAAGAATCTCTGGGTCTGTCAGCCACTTCCCTGAGGTGTGGAGGGACTAAATTGAGGATGTTCTTGGCTTAATCTTGCTCTCTGTGTCCTCTCTGTCTCAGCTGGGGCATCCCCCTGGGCATTACAGTGGCAGCTGTTGCTCTGAAGAAGATTGGCTACGATGCCTCCAATGTTTCTGTGGGCTGGTGTTGGGTCAACCTGGATGCAGAGGATCATGTCCTGTGGATGCTGTTGACAGGGAAGGTTTGGGAGATCCTGGCCTATGTGACTCTGCCAGTGCTCTACATCCTCATCAAGAAGCACATTAATAGAGCGGTGAGTGTTTTGCTGGTTTCAGCTTGGGTTGCAGATTTGCTGTGTGATTCCATCCTCCCAAGCTCTGCAGATTTTGCTCCATATTTAGCAGCTGCCCAGGCAGGAATTGCTTTATAACTCTGAAATGTACCCACCCCTGGGAGCAGCAGTGCCCCTGATTGAGCAGCCTGCAGCAGCATCACACAGTGACTTAGCATAAGAAGGATGTCAAAGCCTTTTGAAAAGGTACCAAGGTTATGGGATGTTCATGAGGGAAATGTGAAATCCTACAGTAAGAATTGAAACAGAACATAAAGGACAAAATTCAGCTCTAATCAGTTTTCTGAAGTTCCACTTGTACCAAGCTTTAGGTGGGACTTAGCTAGCCTCAGTCCCTTTAGTGTCTCTAATGATAGTTTGTGTTTATCAATGCTTGTTTTGTACTAGCAGCATAAAGCACCACTGGGGAGTCTGAGCACTATATAGCATCAGGCACCATGCAGGAGACACCCTGTCCTAGCAGGGGTTTGGAATTCAGAGGTTTCCTTGCTGCTCTTCCTTGTGAACACAGAGAATCCAAACATCTAGGACAGCATTTGCATAACAGAGAAATCTAGACTGAGAGTGGCAGAAGGAAAACTGCATCCAGAGATTCCTTCTTTTCTCTAAGTTGTATTAGGGGGGGAAAAAATTCCCACATGTGGATAGATGTCCTGGGAAATGCTGCCCAGGCTCACCTGCTTGTGGTGCAGTTGCAGTCAGGGATAAACACAAGCCTGGTTAGGGCAGGATCCTGCAGATGAGTTGGAAGAACGAGGTAGTTTTAAGCAGTCCTAAATGCCCTGGGAAAAGGGGAGTTGGGAAGGGTTTGTGAGTGCCTGTCAGCATCACCTGACAGAAACCAGACAGGACACTGTGTCCCAGGCACTGTCAAAGATAGCAGTGTGACTGCCTGGAAACCTGACCCCCAACCTGGCCAGGCTCCTGCCCTCCTCCTCTGCCAGGGATTCCTGGGCACTCTCCTCTCCCTCCCCACCCCACCCTGACCCTCTCACAGCAGTGCTGAGCACAGGCAGTGCTCACTGTTCTTGTAACAGAGGGTCTGAGGGTTTGGAGCAGCAACACATGGATCCTTCAGGCCTGGTGGAGCATCTCTTCCCATCACTAGGGACTTTGCCAAACCTGGAGCCTGCTCACTGAGCCTCTTTATTGGCAGGAAGCCTCCACTTCCAAGGAAGAGCAACAGGCAGCAGAGCAAAGCTTGGGTTGTGTCAATGACTGAAGTGAGTGTTGCAGTGGTGTCTTCTGCACACTCAGAGGCAGGAGAAATGTGGGATGGGAGGCACACAGGATGTGAGCCAGGGCTTTCCAAATGGAAAAGAGTGGATTGGAGTAGGTAGAAAGCTGCATTGAAAGCTCTCAGTGGGGTTTGATTAGGGTCCCTGTGCAGTGTGGTCCCAGCTCTGCTCTGCTGGAAGTGAGGTGTTGGGACTGGGAGTAGTGGAGTGAAGGAGAACACTCTGCATCCAAACTGTGTATGCTCTGGAGCCCTGAGGGCAGGAGGAATAGCTTTCTGCAGGTCAGCTCTCCTGAGATTTAATCTCTTCACCCACATGAACATCCTGGTATCCAGCATCAAGTGTCCAGCAGCTGCTCTGTGTGCTGTGCATAGAGAGATCTCCAGCCACCCCAATCCAGGACACAGATCCTGAATCTTTTTGCTATATATGCTGATACAGAGGGCAAATCTCTGAAAGTCCATTGCAAGGCCAAATTCTTGGTCATGGATTTACAAAGTCCTGGCCAGCAGCACTGGGCCAGGCCACCAACCCAGCAAAACTGTTTGGTGGAGCACCACACTTTCATTTATGTTCTTATGACCTTGGCAACTGTGTAGGGATATTTGCTAGTATAAAGCTTCAGTGGGACTCTGATAAGGGCTGGCTATCCCTTATTTGCCACTCCTTGAGT